CCCGAGTTGCCCTTCTGAGCGGCAGCTCCTCTGGCCAATAGGATATCACACACCAACCTCAAGTCCCGCCCTGTCCCCCACCCTCTGTCCTGATCCTTTCCTTTCCCTTCACCCAGGAGGGAAAGGGGAAAGTGGTAGGGTGTTCGGAGGGGCACCCTCAGGGTCAGGGCTGGGGAGGGTAAGTGGCTGTTCCCACCGTCCCCTCCAGGTTCTACGGCCCTGGGTCAGCCTGTTTTGATGCACTGGTCGCGGTAGTAGAGAAGCCTTGGGAACCTTTCCTACCCTACACCTTTGAGTTTATGCAGAAGGGCAGCGTGGTCAGTGGGTGCCCTCATCCGGACACTCCAGGACCGACTGGGTCTGTCTGTCCGATCGGTTTGGTTTCCTCTTCTTCCCCGTTTCCCCCATCCCTTTTCAACCCCTTAGGCAACCCCTGAGGCTTCAGCAGGCATATTCTTGCTCTGTCTTCTCCTGCTTATGGGAGGCCAGGCCTTCATGCAGGTCACAATCCACCTGGTTGAAGTTTCCACTTGAGGTAGAGAGAGCAAACTCTTAGAAATGTCTCCAAGACCTCTTTTTGCAGGCCCGATTCTCCACAGCTGAGCTAGTGGGGCAGGCCCTAAGCTTGGGTCCCTGGGGAACTCCTCTGGGTTCATTGTACTCACCCACACACTCTGATCTCCACTGGGTGGTAAGGGATGGTTGGGAACTCCGGAAATTGGATCTGCTTGTATCCCGGGGCTTGGACAGTGCATGAGGCTCCTGCGTGAGAGGGAAGCCCCAGTTTGGCCAATCTTCAGCCCAGCCCTGGGTCCAGGTTAAGGTCAGTTTTCACATGAAATGCTTCCTGCCACTCAAGCCCAGCTGTCCCCACTCCCAGCTGCAAACAGTGAGGTTGGTCCTGCCGGTTTCTGAGTCTGTCTGTTCCTGCCTCAGTGCCCACAAGGCCTTTGTCCTGATCATTGGCCTTTTCTGACTTCACCTGCAAGCCGATTCTGCCTTGTGGGATCGTGTCCACCCTTCTCGGGGCCTCTGTGTCTCTCCCGATACAGGATTCTCCTGGCTTCTTAAGTGGACCTTGGAGGCAGATGTGCGCTTGATGGAGAGAGAAGCTCCTGCTTCTAGATTCAGTAAAATCTTCAGAATTGCCCCTGGAGTTGACCCCATGTTCCTCATAGATCGTCAACAACAGCTCCAAGGATCTGCTGGGGTCGGAGTTGGTGTGTGCACGTGTGTGTGTGTGCGCGTGTGTGTACATGTGCTTCGTTCCACATAGGCTATCCCAGAGTCCCCTTGGGCTGCCAGGGTAGGTTTTCTTGGTGATCCTGCAGCCTCCGCTCACTCGCCCTCCTGGAGGCCTGCAGTCTGGCTGTCCTAATTCCCCATCTCTTTTATTTTCTTTCTTTTGTCTTTAGTTTTAGTTTGTCCTATGGGGTGTGTGCACTTACCAGAGAGAGAGAGGGAGAAAGTGAGAAATCACTCCCTAAAGGGGGAAGGCCATACTGCAGTTCCTCTCTCCTCAGGGTTTTGGGTGCACATGCACAAGCACCTGGTGTGTTTTTCAGGCCTCTGGGTCCAGGACTCAAGCCACAGTCAGCCATGTGGGATCCAGTGCCTTAAGCTCCACATCACCCGCCAGCCTGATTACCCACCTCTTTGCCATTGAGCGCCTGCATGCGCGCACACACACGCACACATAGATTTGCACCTCCTTCTTGACGCAGCACCCAGTGTGCACTTTCTCAACAGGGGCTCTCCTGCTCTCTTGTAGCCTATCAATTCTCTCTTGCAGCCTGAGCTGACCTCCCTCACCTCTTATTCTCCCCATAGTTGTAGAAAAATGTTCCCTCTTTTCAGCTCCTGTAATTGGCCCCACTGTGAGGCCTGTGAGGCCTTCTGAGTCAGCCTTTATCTGACACCCAAGGAACAGTCAGTTCACCAGTAGTTAAGGACAGACCCCACAGAGACTGAGCTGCGCTGGCGGAAACACAGGGCACGTGGATCTGAATGGCACGTGGGTCCTCCCAGCTCTGCTCCCGGGATTCCCTCACTGACATAAGGCCTATTGCTCGTATCATGAAGGACAAGAACTATGCAGCCCACAGATGTCCAGGCCCAGCTGTGACCTCCTGTTGTCATCGTCATGGAAGTCAAGAACTTCCTCCTCTGCTCCCCAATCCAGGTGCTGCGGAGTTGGACTCGCCTCCCGTTCTTCGCCTTGCCCTGCCTCGGGCCCTCTTCCTGGCTCACACACTTCCCTATCCTGCCCTCTGGTATTCCCTCCAGAATCTCTGCACTTCTACCGCTGGGTAAGAACCCTTTCTCAGACCACTCTGCCTTCTGTCAAGATCTTGAAATCCCACCTTCTCTGAGAAGACTTTTTGGATTGATCAGAAGGGATCTAAGTTCTTTTCTTGAAAATTTTTCTAATTAAAAAAATATTGCTATAGGCCATGTAGGCTCACCAGAGATAAACAGAGACAGAGAGAAGGAAAGTGAGAAACCACCCCTCAGGGGGAATGGCCAGCCCACAATCCCTTTTTCTCCATTCTCCTTTCAGGATTTTGGGCATGTACCCAGATGCACCCAGTGTGTTCGTCAAGCTGCCGGGCCCAGGACTCAAACTGTGGAGGTAGCCATGTGGGATCCAGCCACCTTATCCTCCAGAGCACCTGCTGCTCCCCCTAATGCTTTTATTTATTCATTTTTTAAAGGTTTTTGCCATAGGGCCTGTGCACTCGCCAGAGAGAGACAGAGAAATAGAGAGAAGGAAAGTGAGAAATCACCCCAAGGGGTATGACCACACCACAATCTCTTCTCCATTCTCCTCTGGGATTTTAGGCATGTACACCCATGTGTCCAGCATGATTTTCAAATCTCTGGGTTCGGGGTTTGAGTCATAGTTGACCACATGTGAGTCCAGCCACCTTAATCACCATGTCCCCCGCTGCCCCCCATGATCCTTTTGACATCAGCCTTTCTGATCTGTTTCCCTCAGAAGCAGCTGTCACATAATAACTTAGTTAAGAGCTGGGCTCCAGTCCCCAGCCCTAGGTATGCAAGATGAATATGAATGCAATTTTACTTATTTATTTAGAGAGACTTTTGCTGTAGGACATGTACGCTAGCCAGAGAGACGGAGACAGAAAACAAGAAATCACCCCTGGGGGGAATGGTCACAATCCCTTCTCCTCCATTCTCCTCTCAGGATTTTGGGCATGCATGCATAGGTGCCCAGCATGAGTTTTAAACTGCTGGGTCGAGCTGCAGCTGACTACTTGGGAGTCCAGCAATGTCAACATTCCACCACCTGCTGGTCCCGTATGGATGCAATTTTAAAGGACAAACAGACAAACTAATCAAACAGCCCTATAAAGAATGGCAGCATTGCTACAACATAAGCTGGAGCCTAAGAGATAAGGAGGGAAGTTATGTTTCTACAGGGTAGAGGCCAAGGGGGATAAGAGTTGTGAAACCAGAATGACTTCATGGAGGAGGTGGGCTTCACAGAAGGGCAGTGATTTCCCCCACTACATCTGCAAGCATGCCTTTCAGGTTGTGCTCTGTTTAGGTCTACAGTCTGCATTTCTGAACTGTACTTTAAAAAAATTATTTAATTAATTAAAAAAATTTTGACCAGGGAGAGACAGACAGAAAGAGAGGGAAAGTGAGAAAGCAAGCTATCAAGCCTGGGACTTGAACCACAGTCAGCCATGTGGGAGTCCAGCACCTTAACCACCATGCCACCTGCTGGCCCCCCTGATCTGTATTAGTATCTGTGTGTGGCTTCTTGTTTGCCCATTTTCCCTATCTAGGACAGTCTTGGCTGTATCAAACTCCCTGATGGAAACTCCCCTGCGGCCAGGCCCCTGTCTGCCTGCATCACTCTGCAGGTTCCTTAGAACACTGGCGTCCACATGGTTATTCCTAATCGGCTCTTTCAGGAAAGAACAGCAGGCCTAGCCCAAGACCTGGAGAGCCTAGACCAAGATTTTAGCTGGGATGGGATCTGACCTTATCAATGACGATCAGCAACAATTTCACCTTAGGTGGGTCCCTTACTTACCCACCTGGGTGTGTGAGCCCCTAGCAACATCTTCAGGCAATGTTGGGCAATGTTGCTTGACTCTTTTTCTTTCAGGCTCTTCTTCTTCTTCTTTTTTTCTTGGTAATTTATCACTGCATTTATTTATTTATTTATTTTATATAAAATGGATTCACAGAAATGCTTTATCAGACGCTGGTGCTACAAAAATAAATATAAAACAAATATACATGTTTGCATATTCTTGGACTATTCTCATCTTTCTGTCCAGGAGGCTTAATTAAGGAGGTAAGAGTTCTCATCTACAGTGGGCCAATTGGGGAAGTTATTTAAGCTCTCTGGGCCACTGTTTCTTCATATTAAAATACAGGGATTTGGGACCAGCGGAGGGCATAATGGTTACATCACTGGATTCCCATGTAGTTGGCCGCAGTTTGAGTCCTGGACCCTGTGGTTTAAAACTCATGCTGGGCATGTGTGCATGTGTGCCCAAAATCATAACAGGAGAATGAAGGAGAAAGGACTGTGGTATGGCCATCCCCCGGGGGGTGATTTCTTGCTTTCTGTCTCTCAGTCTCTGTGTCTCTCTAGCGAGTACTCGTGCCCTATAGCAAAAATCTCTCTATAAATAACCTCTCTAGCGAGTACTCGTGCCCTGTAACAAAAATCTCTCTATAAATAAATAAATACAGGGATTCTATTTATTTTTCTTTTATTATCAGACAGAAAATTAATATTAAAGAATAACATTTTAGGAATTGGACTAAAATAGGATCTTTTTTTTTTTTTCTTTTTTTTGGGGAGAGGTTTTTACAATAGGGGGTGTGCACTCGCCAGAAAGACAGAGAGACAGAAAGCGAGAAA